TAATCCAAGAGGGGAAATGCCCGCGTCTTTCCTCTTCGTTCTTTAATTTCGCCCCTTGTGTTCCACAATCTTCCTTTCTCTTTCCTGTAGAGAATGAGATTCAAAATCCGCTCTCTCCCTTGCCTTCAATTTTCCTGGGTTTAGTTTAGCCTCTAAGCTCTACTGTCTCCTTGTTTTCCCCTCCACTGCCACTCTCCTGCTCTTTGCATTTCACCTACTCTCTGTTTCTCTTTACCCAAAAAGCCAAAAAAAAAGTGAAGCCTTTTCACATCTATTCTCTCATAGAAATCATTCTTCTCTTCCTCTGTGTTTTCACCATTTGATTTGCCTCTCTCTACTTTTGTTACCTTGTTTTTTTGTTCATATTTATTTCTAAAAACTTCAAAAGCAAAAAAAGAAACAAAAAAAAAAGGGAGAAATCGAAGATGGCCGAGGCCTGTTGTGTTCCTGTTGTTCAAAATGTTCTTGTAACTGTTGTTGGGAACTGGATCGATCGGGGTTTGGAGCGAAATCCGATCATTCTTGTCTTCAAGATGAAGTCGAATGTTGATAAACTGAAGGAACAAGTTGCTGAGCTCCGGGAAGACATAGACCACGTGGAGCGAGAAACTCAAGCTGTTGAAAGAAGAGGGGAACATACTGTACCGAAGCTCAAGACTTGGCTGAATGAAGCAGGCAAGTTCATTGAAGCGGCAAACACAATAGAGGATGATGAAGAAAAAGCAAAGAAGAAGTGTTTCTTTGGGATGTGTCTTAATCCCCTGTCTCGTTACAGACTCAGCAAGAAGGCGGTAGAGGATTCCCAGAAGATTGCTAGGCATGTGCAAAAAGTTCCTGGATCCAACCTTCAAACTTCCTACCCTCCTATTCCACAACGGGTAGTGGCTGCACCTGTCAAGGGTTTTCAGGAGTTTGAGTCAAGAATGGATGTATTGAATGAGATCATGAAGGCATTAGAGAGTCCAAACATCAACATAATAGGAGTGCATGGGATGCCAGGTGTAGGGAAGACGACGCTGCTCAAAGAAGTTAAAAGAAAAGCCGAGCAAGATAAATTGTTTGATCCAGTAGTTATGGTTTCTGTAACAAAGAAAGATCCAGACTACAGAAAAATTCAAGAGGACATAGCATATGACTTGGGTCTAGAGCTTCCAGTTGGGATTGGACATCGGAGTGTTGCCGACCGGCTTAGAGCAAAATTTTTGACAAAGAGGAAGGTTCTCGTGATTTTGGATGATATTTGGGACAAACTAGATTTGGAGGCACTTGGTATTCCCTTTCAAGACCAGCAGAAAATGAATGTTGAAACTGGCTCATCATCCACAGAAGATCAACAAATGAAATGCAAGATCTTATTGTCTTCTAGAGAGCTTAATGTCCTGAAAACTGAAATGTGTACTCAAAAGGAGATTGTAATTAATCAATTGGAAGATCAACAAGCGTGGCAAATGTTCAAGAAGATAGTTGGTGATAGGGCTGAAAGTAACGACTTTCAGTCTACAGGCTTTGAGATTGCCAGAAAATGTACAGGGTTGCCCCTTGCTATTGCACCACTTGCAGAAGCTTTGAAAAATAAGAGTTTGCCTGAATGGAGGAGTGCTTTACAAAGACTGAATAATCCCTCTCCAAGCAACTTCAACGGCATACATGCAAAAGTTTATACTGCTATCGAGGTGAGTTACAATCACTTGGGAAGTAAGGAGCTCAAGCAAACTTTCTTACTTTCTAGTTTGATGGATCGCAATGCTTCACTTCAAGACTTGTTGAAGTATGGTGTAGGCTTAGGCTTATTCTCACAATCTAACACCATAGGGGAAGCGCGGAATGAAGTAATAACATTGATAGGTGATCTGAAAGCTTCTTCTTTGTTGATTGATGGTTCTGACACAGGGCGTTTTGATGTTCATGATGTTATTCGTGGCGTAGCTCAATCAATAGCGCGCTGGGAGGGCTACGGATTGTTCTTAACAAATGACGACTTACCAAAGATGTGTTCAGATGAGAAGGCATTGAGTGATTTCAAATGCATATGTCTACAATGTACTAATATGAATGAGCTTCCAAATGAGTTAGAAAGTCCTGAGCTTACTCTCTTTTATTTGTGTAACGAATATCCTCCTCTGGAAATTCCAGCAAACTTCTTCAAGGGAATGCAAAGACTCAGGGTATTGGACTTGACTCGTATGCAAATGTCATCCCTACCTTCATCAATTTCCCTCCTAAAGAACCTCCACACATTATGCTTGGATCAAGGCGTATTAGGAGACATAAGCATTATTGGAGAGCTGAAGAATTTAGAAGTTCTAAGCCTTTTGAGGT